CTGCAGACTTTCAATGTCTTCTGCACACTTTGCTCCACCACTCACCTTAGTGTCATCTGCAAATTTTGACATACCACACTTAGTCCCTAACTCCAAATCATCTATATAAATAAAAATATTACGTGATGCATTTTAATTAACCGAAAGTTTAGGTCATTTCTCTGTGTAATCCGATTTTTGCTTCACCTGACCTGAGAATACTTAAATGCAACACCACTTCTTGAACAAAATCTTCCACGTCACTGACCTCAGTCCGTTAAAGGACATAATTTTTTGTTGAACAAAAAAATTTGTTAGAATTAATGCAAAATGAAGCTTGTAGAATTTTAATTTCTGTTTTGTGACAGGGCCACAGACATGAAGTGACACTTTGTACATATGAAGCTTCTGCCAATCCTACAGATCATAAAATTGACCTCATCACTCCTCAGACACACTTCATTGCTTAAAATGTGACTTCTGATGCTCCAACATGTATGGAAAAATGAAGACTGCACTAACAAGAAGAAAACACTTCTAGAATTTCAGGGACTTCTTCAGTAAATCCGCAGTGAAATGGAATACAGTACAATAGAAAAGCTTCAAACAATTGTGTCTATCTTGTAAATTATAAACCAGCAAAGATGTTCAAGCAGAAGATTAATAAGGAGGCACCATTCACTCTTTAATTGGAGTCTGCAGTTGCTGCTTTAATTCATAAGACTTAAAATACAGATTTGGCAACTAAATAGAAGTGGATAGCATTTGATATTCTTGGCCTAAAGCAAGAGTTTCCAAGAAAATACCTGATTTTGATTTTTCATCAGTAGTGTTTCACATGTATTTGGCAATATGTGTTGAAAATCTGAGTTCCATGTGCCGCTGTCAAAATCTGCACATCGGAATAATCTGTTGCTTGTGATGTTTTTCTACTCCTGTAGCCATTTAATTCTTGAGCAATAACGCGGTCTGCAAGCATGATCACTTAAAACTTGTATTTCTCATTAATTACATAATGGGAAAACATCTATTTAAAAGGTACACTGTAATGTCTAATCAAGATTCCTAAAGTCTGCATCTGTGATTGGCAACCTCGTTGATTTTGTAATTTTCAGGGATTGAGCTTTATCAGAGACATGTAGATTCATAACTATGCTGTTTGAATGCTATAAGAAGCATAAACTGATGTCAGTGATCTTGAAATTATGAAGAGAGACTACTTTGACTCTTAAATGAGATCAAAGATCAGGAGCAGGGACAACACAAACGATCTCTCTGAAATTAACGCAAAATGTATTGATTTCATAATGAAATAATCCAATAACATCCTTATTGGTCCTAAATAAATCGCTATCAGTCTTTTCAATCTTTGTCTACAAGTTGCTGTTTTTCCTGAATGCCTTTATGCATTAGATTACGTAACCATGAAGATCATTGTGCCCTTTGTGTATCAATGAGGTGAATGGAGGTTCACTGTGCTGTACAGTTTAAAACTTGCATTGACATTTTGCCCTTATATCCACTTTGCTTGAACTTATCTGTTACACACTCTGGGTTTGGAAGTTACTGTGATGATACGAGAAAATGCAACCATTGCTTTGAAGAGAAAATAAAACTTGAAAATTATTGCTGTTCTTGGATTGGTGATGTGTGATCCTCTCACCTCTGCTTGGCAGTTACATTGCAGATTACTTAACTAATATTTGCTGGTAAACAGTTTTTAATAAATATGTCTTTAAAAATAGTTGTATTACAGTTGACTTTCAACACAATACATAATTGTGAGTGAGCTGTCTTGTATACGTGCCTCGTGTATGCAATTACATGATGGCAATAAAGTGTAAACCACAAATGAATATAAATCTCTCCAGCTATTGATGTATGTTTTACTTAAAATTTGCCTCACACCTACAGTCAACCTAGACTGTCCAAACAATTTAAATCTTCCATACTGCTTGCTAAGCTTGAAATGATACCCTTTAATTGTTGCAAAATTGATCATTTGTGGTAAAATTTACAACAACGAGGTTTACAGGAGTGAAGGTTATTGGTGAACAGGATAGAAAATAAAATTGAATCCTTAAATGAAAATCCTTTCCAAAGATGGTTGTTGTTACTTGGCATCCAAGAAGTGTCTCCTAGTTAATCTTTTTCAGTTCTTCCAGAACTTTTATCACAATTTCCATTCTTTCCTCTTCACAGCCTCCACGTTCCAGCTTTACTATGATGAAATTCATCTCTAGGCACCAGTTTGCATTTTCTTTTTCCAGCTGCACAGTATTGATAAATGTAAAATGGGGCAAGAGAGTTAAGATGCTAAGATGTTAAGATGATTTGGAAAGTAACATCTGCTATTTAGTGTGATTCATTTGAGGACTAGTCCTCTGGCTGGTTGAAAAACAGTGCTGGTTGTGATTGTGACTCTTGCCTTCAGGATTAAATCTTCCACAGTGGAGGACATTGAATCCCATAAAGATCCAAGTTAGTCAAGTAAGATTAGTCTTTAACAAATCCATACTGAGTTCCATTTATGAGGGGTTGCCTTTCAAAATGACAATTTTGTCCTAGTTCATTGTGTCTTAGTGTTCCACCACCAATGTTAGGCTGATTGACTAGTAGTTGCTGAATTTGACCTTCTTCCCTTTTACTTAAACAAGCATGTAACATTTACAATCCTCCAATCATCTGGCACTACCCTCATATCCAAGGATGATAGGAAAATTGTGGTCAGAATATCCAATTTCTACCCTTACTTTCCCTGGCAACCTACAATATACACAACCCAGACCAGAATGTGGAAGACTGCAATCTATTAACTACTTTCAAGTACTCAGATTCTGAAGCACAAATGCAGCATGACCTAGCCACCCACCTGCTGAAATTCCAGTTGATTCTTGTTGATTGATGTGACTGTCACATGTGGAGTCACTTAAAGGTGTTCTCCTCTTCCAGTAAACTGAGCTGGGGAAAAAAAATTAGACTGTCAATTCATGGGACTTCAGAACCAGTCCCAGGATTGTGCTGACAGAGATGTCACTTGACAGACGCCAAAACAGACTAGGAGCTCACAAATCTGAAATCTCGCCTCACTGGACCCCTTCCTATCATATCATTTGGAATCACTTCATGAAATAATATCAACATTAGCTGTGACTTTTTATCCCGTTAGTGCCAATGCTAACTGGAAATAAAAGTTAGTCAAAGCATTGGACACAGTTAGACATAATACACACATGCAAAAAAAATTGGAAATCCGACATATACAATAATGGCTCAAAAAGACGTTATTTTAGATGTGATCTTTCATCTAGTTTGATTATTTCACTGCCATACCAAAGCAAAATAAATGTCAATCAGGTTTTGATTACAGTTTTTTATTTCCATATATATGTATACTAAATTATTATTTGAAAGTTCTAAAAGTGGGACTTGACATTTTAATCTACATTATTGAGCCACAGCTATAGATTCCTCGTCCCTAGAAATTTAACCAATACTGTCGGATAAAGTGGTTGAAATGGTGAGGTGAAGGCAAAATGCCCTATCATCAAGGCTGAATTTGACTGAGTGTGGCATCATGGAACCCTAGCAAAACTGGAGTCAATGGGAATCGGGAAATTTCTCTGCTGTTTGAAGTCATATGGGAACATGGCACATGGGAAGATTATTGTGATTGTTGATGGTTAGTCATCTTGGCTCCTGGAAATCTCTAAGAGTTCCTCAAGGTAGAGTCCTAGGCCTAACCATCTTCAGCTGCTTCAGTTTCCCTGCACCATGAAGTCAGAAGTAGGATGTTTGCCAAAAACTACACAATGTTCAGCACCATTCACAACTCCTCAGGTGATCAGGCAGTCTATGTTCAAATGCAGCATAAACTGGTCAATATCCAAGCTCAGGCTGAAAAGTGCAAGTAATATTTGTGCGACACAAATGCCAGTCAGTGACCATCTCCAATGAAAAACAAATTTAACCACTGCCCTGGATATTCAATTGCATTACCACCATGAATCCCCCAGGATCAACATCTTGGGGATTAACACTGACCAGAAGCTGAACTGAACTAACCTTATAAATACAATGATTACAAGAGCAGGTCAAAGATTAGAAATACTGCAACAAGTAACTTACTTCCTGATTCGCCATAACCCGCCCAACCATCTACAAGGCACAAGTCAGGTATGTGAGGAATACTCCCCACTTACTTGATGAATGCAGCTCTAACAACACTCAAGAAATTATACAACATCCAGGACAAAGCACCCACTTGATTGGCACCACATCCACTAGTGCTCAGTAACAGGAGTGTGTACCATCTATGAGATGCACTGCAAAGGTTCATCGAAGGTCCTTCTGTAGCCACGACCACTTCCATTGAGAAGGATGAGGCTAATAGAAACATGGGAATAGCACCACCTGTGATTCCCTTACAAGCCACTCACCATCCTGAGCTGGTTGATCCTTCAATATCGCTGGATCAAAATCTTGGAATTTCCTAACAGCATTGTGGGTCCACCGACAGCACATGGACTACAGGAGTTCAAGGCAGCAGCTCACCGCCACCTTCGCAAGGATAACCAGGAATGGACAAAAAATGCTGGCCCAGCCTCCAGCACCCACATCCCAGGGTGAATTCTGAAAAAAAAACATTGTGAACTAATGCATCCTCCTTAATTTTCTTCCTTTATTATATGAAATTCTTCCCGTTTATCATTTGGGTATTTCAAAATCCATAGGAAGAGTTAGGGGTATGAAGACAATCTGAGAAATTGATATTTTTACCCTGTCCGGACGTGCTGTGCCACAACTCTGGAGCAAGTGGTACTTGAACATCCAGCCTCTGTGCACAGGAGAGGGTGTAGTCGGCAGGGCTGAACAGTGACAATAATGAACAATGCAATAATGTTGCCGAATAAATAGATACAACACTCAGGTTGTGCCTGTGGCACCGTTGCAGGGAAATCAAAGAAGAAAGATACAAATAAACAGCAGAGGAGGAGCATCCTACCGCTAGAGGGCAGAATGTAGCAAAAGAGGCGAAGGGGGCATGTGACGTCAGTTGAGGCGGAAGTTGTCCGTGGTCACGTGATCCTGCCTGGCGTTGTGGAGAGGGAAGCTGCTCGTTGTCGGCGGTTCCTTGACCAAAGGTAAAAGCCGGAACCGGGGCGGGCGGGTGCTCTGGTTATTGGATTCGTCGTTGACGAGCCCAGCTGGAGGCGTCCTCGGCCTCCCCGTTCCGATTCCGACCTGGAGATGCGGGGTTGGCCGCGGCAATCCACATCTCCCACCGCACTAGCCGCTTCTCCGTCCGAGCCGCACTCTTACAGAACCCGATCCCGCCCCTCACATACCTCTACCCCCATCCCCAACACACTCTCGCCCCCCACCCCACATACACCTCCCCCTCCCACACCCTCCTCTTCCATCTTCTCCCACACTGTCCTCTTCCATCTCTCTTCCCCCCCACACACGAGCGCGATGGGCCAAATGGCCTCCTGCACCAATTGTAATTTTTGTGAAAAGAACACGACAGATGCTGCTGGTTTGAAAATGAACATCCTGTGTTGATCCACTGGGATAAGGGAAGGACGTGAGGTTTCACTCCGCAAAACAAAGTAATGATCAGAAAAATTGGAGATCAGGTGTTCCTTGAGCTGTTCCTACAAGAACTGCAGTGTGATATTGTCGAGGGAGTGCTGCTCTGTCAGATTAGATGTTAAACCGAGGCCCTTCCTGACCTCCGTGGAGGTAAACTTCCATCTATTTTAGTTGAAGGGCAGGAATATTCTTCATTATTATTAGTTTCATGTTTAAACAGATTATCTAGTCAATATCACCTTGCAATGCACAAATGGCTGTTGTGTATCATATAATTCAAATGCGCTTTGGCTGCGGGGCATTTTAGTATGCCCTGAAGTTATGTTCGCTACTACGTAAATGCAAATATTTTATCCTAGTTGGCTGATCGATTTATATAACCTGTTTCTTTTAAGTGATGTGTAAACATTATGTATAGCTACAGGTGCAGTAACAGACTACTCTTGGATCTAATACACAACTGTAAGAAAAATAGCCAAACTCTTACAAAAAAACTAAAAGAACTTCTGAAGAATGGTCACTGAACCCGAAACATTAACTCTGATTTCTCTCAATAGATGCTGTCAGACTTGAGACTTTTCAGCAATTTCTGTTTTCTTAACAAAAAAAACCTGCTTGTTTTGCTCTTAATCTACTCAACGTTTGTTTATATGTGTAATGAATTCAGTTTGTCCTGAATACAACTTGAAGACTTGTGTTCATATTGCATTTTAAAAATATAAACTTTTGTACTACTGCAGTCGAATGGGGAAAATTTCCTAGTCTTAGGATGTGGTTATTGTTACTGTTTTATTAACAGGTTTGATGTCAGGCTAAAGGCTGTAATAAGTGAGAAATGACCATTGATTAATAGAGGACAAACAGTCTGGAAGATATTCTGTGGTATTATCAGTTCCTCTTGTGCAGAAACCACTCCAAAAGCTTTACTGGTACATGGACTTTCATGAATTGCAAGTCTAGGGATGTAGAGGGATATTCTAAATTGAATCTAAAAGTCATCATATGATCTAATCCTGTCATGGTGAATGGAAATTCTAAATCATTTACTTGATAACTCTTGAGAGCTTTGCTTTGTTCAGAAAATATTATGAAGGTTAGTGCTTCAAATGCTTTAATGAAGTTGTGAAGTAATTTTGATCCATAATTCTCCGCACAAGTTCCTTGTTTTAGTTGTTGCAACAACGTGGGGAGTTCAGCACATGCCAGACATTATTTATGAATTCATATTTCTGAAATATCTGTGACATAATTTCCAAAAGTTAGCTGTTTGGCAGAAGCCAGCAGGAAGTTATCTGCATGTCTAATTGATCTGAGATAGGTAACAGTGTGCATAGAAATATTCTTCCAAAAATAAATATAGTTGAAGATGAAGTTAATTGAAGTTGAAGCCTCCGCCCATGCTACTGGTGTGGAAGATTGGACTGTACTGTGCTGACTGTTTCCTTAAGTTGCTATCAATACTCAACTAGATTTTACTTCCTAATTAGTGTTTTAAGCTAAGTGTAAATTTGCCCCCCTCTGCTTCCATAATATCCTCGACCCATATGTCCCTGCATGGATACTTTTGTTTGTCCTGCAATCTGTATTTTACTTCACATCAAACACCCTCTATCAGGATGTCCTTCACTCACTTCTGTCCTACTTTCAAATGCTGCCTTAATACCCATAAACATCTGTTATTAGCTCTCAATCCTTTCTCCCCGTATTTGACTATGCTTAGTGGCTACTCTTTCATTGTGCCCTATTAAAAAGTGCTATCAGATGTCTGACTGCGCCAGTGCTATCAAATGCGAGTTGCTTCACATGATGTACCAAATGTAAATACCTGATTTTTAAGTACCTGGAATAAAAGTAATACAAAAAGACATACTGAATGCTGGACATGTGGAGTAAAAATAGAAGATGCTGGAAATACTCAGGTTTAGCAACATCTGTGGAAAGAGAGAAACTGTTTCAGGTTGATGGTCTTTGATCAGGACTCATAAAGGTATATAAGTAACTTTTACATATTTATTCAAGTCATACAGCATGGAAACGGACCCTTCAATCCAACTTGTCCATGCCAACTTACCATTACTACTTGTAATTATAAATGCTAATGGATAATATTTGTATTAATTTTTATGAATGCTTAAATGGTGGTTTATACTCAATGAGTTGAAAAATGCAGGACACCCATATTTCTAATTAACCAGATTGTCTCTGACAGTTTTTGTATTTACTGCAGATTACACATGAAGTATATTACAAAAAGTAAATATTTTTATCTTTATAGATGTAACTTGGAGGTTATTTGAAGCTGATACCTCACCTGATTGGCCATTGTGTGTTATGAACTTCCAAAGGGAGTGGTTAGTGTGCAGCTGCACGCATCACAGTCAAACCTGCTCTGTCCCCACCCTATGACCACTTCATGCACTGTCTGGTAGAATGCTAAGTTTTAAGTTTGACATTTCGATTGTCTCAGCTTAAATCATTAAAATCTGTACAAAACCTATATAAACCTGAATATATGATCTGAGGTTTTGTTTCATTCTCTGATTTGGTTGTTCCTGAGGGTATCAGAGCATTCACATCTGTCAACCCTGGTATTCTCTGCAGTAAAAATAGAACTGATAAACTATCTATGGAAGGATCTGGCCTTTCAGTCTGCACATATAGATAAATGCAGAAGACAACAGATGTGCATATAATAGTAATAAGGGACAACTTGTACAACACCTTTAACATCAATTGGAATTGTTTTTCTTTAATTGTACCGATAAGCAACATATGCAAGGTTGCATTGAATCTTTAAGTGACTGTTACTCTGTATAACCTTGGTACTGTAAAAGTAATGTTATTTAAAATTCTTGGTCTGTTATGCAGTGGGATTAGTTCCCATTGGATTAACTCTTTCACAGTTCATTTGTGCCAGTGTGGGATTTTTTTATACTCATGAGTTCACAGTTGCAGCTACAATGCATTCTGCTGATATTGCATTACTCAGTGGGCTTTTAAACATATGTAATACGCTTATCAATATTCATCATGCGTTCAATGCAATTTAACAAGCTATTGGTAATACCTGGCCCCTTGCTTTCCGATTCTTGATATTTTAGACATGAAGTTTAATTAATACCGTTCTGTGATCAATTCTTTGCATGCAGAATAGCAAATATTCATTCTCAAAAAAAACTTGTGAACAGCCACGGCCCTTGGCACTTGTTTTTATTTTAGTATGAGCATATCCATATGCTCATGGATCTGGAGATTCCCCCCCCCCCCGCCCCCATTATATCCGTTGTGTGTTGTGGAGTTATGTCTTGCTAAGTGTACTGTCAGAATGAAAGATATTCATTTGCTTATTGTAATCTGGTTAAATGTACCTGCATAATGAGTGTAACTATTTGAAAGACTAAATTAAAACAGGGAATTGCAGGTGTTGGAGATATAAAACAAAAAAAGAAATCAGAATTGTACAGAACAGAAGAGTCACCAGATTTGAAGCACTAACTCTGTTTTCTCCCCACAGATGCTGCTAGACCTACTGAGTTTCAATCTTTTGATTGGGTGTCATGTGCTTGGCAGCCAGAGTTAGAAGCTTGCCTTACAGTGTGACACTAGATATCTCAGTAGCCGGACTAGGAAGTTTCAATTAACTTGCTAATGAAATAATGCTGACTTGCTAATGAAATTTAAATAACATCTCAGTACTAATAAGCATATCTTATATTTTAAACAGGTTATCAGTTTGTTAGTTAATGCAACTTTTTTTTTGCTTAACATAATTTGTTATATTTAATGAGTTTAAATGATACCTGCACTCTCTTTGGGTTATGTGGCAATTAATTGCACTGTTAAACAAGTCTTCTCAATATTATAATTAGATCTGCTACTGGTGTGCTTGGTCACGATTATCCCTGTTTCTTACTATAGTCTTGTGTATCTGCAGGTTTGCATTTGGCACGTGTGACGTTGTATGTGTGGTAACAACATGTCGTTGCCGTTGCTTGATGAGGCTGCAACCGTGTCTGGGACAGAACGGGAAACTGCAGTGGTAAGAAACCACCTGTTCTCTTGATCTGCGTAGAAAACACAATGCTCTGACAACTGGGGGACATTTCAGATTCACTATAATGTCTTCTGAATACCTGGTTGTGGTCATTGGTGGTTAGGTGGTGCTGTTTTTATGTGAATTTTATATTAGTTGTTGCTCAATTAGTTTTCACAAGAATTGTCCTTTTAACTCTAGACTTGGACTTGAACCAACAATCTCTTTTTAATGAAACTCAAGACCGCAAGCATCTCAGTTAATATGTTAAGCATTACTTCAATACTTAAACTTGTATGAATAGCTTGGTTTTGTTATTTCATCTGAGAGAAAAAATATTTTTGAAGTGTTTGTTTGCCACAAGGTGACAGCAGCTGGAGAGAGTTCATTAGTAATACTATCATAGACACACGACACATTGCAGACTGATATTACATTGAATCTGTGGCCAGTTTTGAGCTTGAGACTTCTTTTCTGTGCTTCTTTTAAATGCCAGAGGAAAGTAAGGGCATCAATGTTCAGAATAGTGCTTTAATATTACTGTTGCTAAAAATTCCCTCTAATTTATGTTTGTGGTTAACCTTTGTAGTTTCCCTCTGTATTTTGGCCAGCAATCGTGATATCCAAATCCCAGTTTTGACTCTTTTATGTTTCATTTTGGAGTTGGATAATTAATAATATGCAGGCTGTTGCATCAGCAATTTTGAAGTTAATACCATACCAGTGAAGTTTCGATTATCTTCTCATGACTCTAATTACATTGAAATCCCACTGTTTGATATATCGAGACAGCTTTAATCAAACATTCTACAATTGATACTTTCTTGTTAGATCGGGAATTTTCATCGCTCTGCTGATTGTCTGATGTTACTTTGTGCTGGTATAAAGTTGGTGTGTTTGGGTTGTATTTTACAGGTTATTTTCTTGCATGGACTTGGAGACACTGGGTGAGTTTGCTTTAGATCAATAGTACAGAGAAATTGACCAAGTTCATAATCCTAATTGCCATAAAACTGAATTAAATGCAAATTTGTTGATATTATGCTTTGATAAGCTATCTAACAATGTATATTCCCTGTTGTCTGAGGGTTTATAACCATCCCCATTATGTACACCTTCATACCAATAATTGTAACATGATGGAAATTTTTTAAAAATCGTACTTCTGCTCTAGTTACCATTTATTTTTCTTGGTGCAGGCTATTTCTTCCTCAAAGATTTCTTAAACTGACACATTAAAATAGCATTTTTCAAACATCACTAATAATCCCTTTTAACACCAGTAGAAGGAGCTCGTGAAGTTGGGCGAGACACACAATCTTTTTTCCCTTCCCTCAAACATTGTACTTTGCAGTAGTGTTGGGTGACTTTAAGTCCTGGTTCCATTCCTGAAAATCACAATTTTAAGGGAAGTATTAGTTTCTGTGAGAATCAAACATTCAAACTAGAGTTGGGTTTCATAAGGCCTGCCTTAAAGACAAAAATTATATCAGTACCTTCTAAGTTGAAATACGTGACACCTTACTTTAAATATCTAAATTTCTAAATTAAATAACTGCTATAATATAGAATTTCCTTTTATTTTAAATTTAATATTCTTTAGTGTTTAGTTTTGCCAGGCTCCATCAGTGGTAGAAGTTACTGCAATGACCCATGTCTACCACTAGATGGAAGACCTCAGTTTGAAATCAGAAGGGAAGCCGAGACCCGAACTGGCCAACAATGAAGCGAAGAGCAGACCTGGAGTGGAAAGTTAAGAATAGCAAATAAGAGGTGAGGCCAGGGCAAAGCAACATGGAGGATGAGGGCCAGAACCAAAATTGGTGCAAGACAAGCCTGGGAAGCAAGGCCCCTTTGCCCACAGGCAAAAAAGGGAGAGTGTCTAATCTGTAGGCAGTGCGGATGAAGGCACTAATACAATATGATAACAGACACCAATAATATATGCAAACAAGGCTAAAACGAAAATAATGATGCGAAACAAACAAACAGGTCCCAAAGAACAAACAATGCTAAAATGACTTTTAGTGGGGCGATGTTAAACGAGGACTGCCTGTGCATTTAATGTACTTGAGTTAGGACGTGACTAAATAAGCCAGAGTACGTAGTAATTCTAAAGAACTAAATTGCATTTATTTCAATGCAAGGCATCTTACAGGTAAGGCTGATGAACTCCAGGCACATTTAAGAACATGGGATTGGGATGTCATAGCTATTACAGAAACTTGGCTAAGAGATGGATTTTTTCTGAAGAAGGGTCCCGACCTGAAACATCAGCTTTCCTGCTCCTCTGATGCTGCCTGGCCTGCTGTGTTCCTCCAGCTTCACGTTGTTATCTCTGACTCCAGCATCGGCAGTTCTTGCTATCTGTTAGAGATGGACAAGACTGGCAGCTCTGTCTTGTGGGTTTTAGATGCTGTAGGAAGGATGGGAAAGGAGGTGGAGGAATGGTGGTGTTTTGATTAAGGAATATATTACTGCTGTAAATAAAGAAGGTATTTCTGAAAAATCATGCAGTGAAAATATATGGGTAGAAATTAGAAATAAGAAAGGAAAGATCACCTTGATGGCAATGTACTATTGGCCCCCCCAATAGTAGTAGGAAAATTGAGGAACAAATATGTAGGGAGATCTCAGATATATGTAAGCATAATTAGATTGTAATAGTGGGGTATTTAAATTTTTCAGACATTGTCTGGGGCTACCAGAGTCTTAAAGGCTTGAATAGTGAGGAATTTGTCAAATGTGTTCAAGAAAATTTTTTTAATCAATATGTGGATACTCCTACCTGAGAAGGAGCAAAACTTTACCTTCCTTTGGTAAAGTAGAAGAAGGGGAACACTTTGGGTCTAGCGATCATAATTGTATTAGTTTCAAAATGGTATGGAAAATGATAAGCCTCCCATAAAAGTTAAAGTTTTTAATTCGAGTAAGGCAAATTTACTCCAAATAAATGGTTGTTGTCTTTTCCCTAGGATGGGGGATTTCAAGACTAGGGGGCATATTTTTAAGGTGAGTGGAGAGAGATTTAAAAAAAAAAGACATGAGGGGCAAATTTTTAAGAGGGTGGTTTGCGTGTGGAATGAATGTCCTGAGGAAGTCGTGAATGAGGGTACAATAATAATGTTTAAAAGACATTTGGATCAGTACATGAATAGGAAAGGTTTGGAGGGATATGGTCCAGGAGCAGGCAATTGGGACTACTTTAGTTTGGGATTATGGACTGGTTGGACTGAAGGGTCTGTTTTCATGCTGTATGACCCTGTGACTCCTTTGGTGATGCAGCAGGGAACTTTCAAAAGTTGATTGGAGTAGACTGCTCATAGATAAAAGGACATCCAACAAGTGGGAAGCTTTCAAGAGTGTGATAACGAGAGTTTGGCAGCGTTATGGTATTATGTTCTTGTTGGAATGAAGAGTTCAGGCTGGTATGATTAAAGATCAATGGATGAATAAGGATATTGAGGTTCTAGTCAGGAATAAAAGAGAATCTTATTTTAGATATAGACAACTTGGTTCAATTGAATTTCTTATTGTAGTTGCAAGAGGGAATATGAGAGAACATTGGCAGATAAATTAAGGATAATCCAACAAGATTATACAAATACATTAAGAGCGAGAGTGAAGGGCCTCTTAAAGATCAAGGAGGTTGTCTTTGTGTTGAACCCCACGAGATGAGAGAGATACCGAATGAATGTTTTGCGTCAGTTTTTACTGTGGAGAAATAAATATTAATGTATTAAAAACAGTTCACATTACAGAAGTTTAATTCCTAATTGATTGTCATCTTACTTTTGAATTCTTATTGCTGTTTAATGTTTGCCATTTGAAAACTCTGCTGTAATGAATACTTTAACACAGTTTCATCTTGTTTGCCATTTTGTCACAGGTGTTTGCAATAGTTGAGTTACTCCACCTAGAAATTTGGTGGCATTGTGCCTCTTTTTCTTCAGGAGCTTAATGAACACCTAAGCCTCCAATATGCAAACAGGAAATGCATGCTTATGAGTGGGTTATGCGTTACCTAATACGAAAAAGATAATTGGCCTCCAGAGCCCAATTCTAAAATGGATTCGGGTCTTTGTGTGAGCCTAATGTGTCTGTGAGTTGCCTCTGCAATATTGTATTCCCTGAGGCAGCTATTGCGCGCAGCATTCAGTCTAAACAGAACTATTTGCAGCCCAACCAGCAAACCATAAAGTGACTACAACAGGCTACCACCAAAAGGTAAGTTTGTAAAATAAAAAGCACTTGACCAGACTGAAGGTGGGAGGGGCAGTGATGCTGTTCCCAGATCCACATTCAAACTGAGTAGCTGCCGATCACCTTTATATTTGTATGTAACTTCAGTGGTGGAGCTTCTTAACACTGTTGTCCTGTTTCTAAAAGTGGTACACTTTCTGATCCTTTACTAACCCAGGAGGTTATGGGTTCAAGTTGCACTCTGGAAACTGTATGTAACAAAATGTAACAAAAATCAAAATCTGACTCTCCTCTACACCAATGTGTGTGCAAGTTGGCAATGGACTAAATTACAGCAATGGCAATACTCCAAAAGTGTTTTCTTGCTAATTCCCATGGTACTCAGATGAAATCTTGTGAAGCTTTCTAATGTGTTTTCCTCAAAGTACTGAAACTGCTTATCTACCTCAGTATTTCTTGCTTCCTACCATCATCTTCAAGACTTGCATTTATTGGTGTCTATACCATTGCAAAATTCCCAAGGCACTTGATGTTGAGCTACGTATGGATATATTAGGCAAGATGATGTAGGTTATAACGAGTGCCTTTGAAATAGAATAGAAGAGATCAGGGAGCCCGAATAGCTCAGTCCATAGAGCATCAGACTTTTGGCGGCACGGTGGCTCAGTGGTTAGCACTGCTGCCTCACAGCACCAGCGACGCGGGTTCAATTCCACCGCCAGGCAACTGTCTGTGTGGAGTTTGCACGTTCTCCCTGCGTGGATTTCCTCCAGGTGCTCCAGTTTCCTCCCACAGTCCAAAAATGAGGTGGATTGTCCATGCTAAATTGCCTGTTGTGTTCAGGGATGTGTAGAGTAGGTGGGTGAGAGGGGGATGGGTCTGGGTGGGATGCTCTGAGGGTAGGTGTGGACTTGTTGGGCCGAAGGGTCTGTTTCCACACTGCAGGGATTCTATTAAAAAAAATTTTCTTTAAATTGCAAAAAAGCATTCTAGAGCTTTAAACCTAGGCAAGCTCAAAACTCTATGGAGTGATAGCAAGGGTACACGAGACCAGATTTAGAGGAACACTGGAAAAGGTTACAGATAAGGGTGAGGCTGTGAAGGAATCGGAAAGCAAGAATAAATTTTAAAATCAAAGTGCTGCCAGAACAAAAGCATGTAGATCAGAGAGGTCAGGTAGGATGGGTGGATGGGACTTGATGCGAAATGTGTTAGGGGCAACCAAACTTTTGGGTGATCTTGTTTATATAACGTAGACGATAGAACTCTACCCAGGACAGGATTGGAATAATCAAGTCGAAAGATAACAAATTTGTGGATGGAGGTTTCATGGATGAAGATATTGATATTTTGGAAGTGGAACTTGGCAATCTTGGTCCCTTTCACATACAACACTAAGAATGTGAACAGCTTAATTCAGCCTGAGATAGTTGCCAGAGTGAGAGCTGGATTCAATAATTAGGGAATGGATTTTGTGTTAGAGACTGAAGTCAAAAGTATTAGCCTTTATAATATTTAATTGTAGAAAATCGGCTTGTCTACTTGATATCAGACAAGCCGTGTGACAAATCAGATGGTGGAAACATTGAGGTGGAGCGAGTTGTTAGCATACATGTGAAAATTGGTTATGTGTCTTCGAATGATGTAGCCAAGAGGTAGATTGTAGCTGAGAAACAGGTTTTTTTACTTTCAAGCTCTATGATGCCATGCTTTTGGGCTTCACCTTGGCTTCTGGTTGTTTGAAACTGTCTTTTAATAAGCAATTAGCAACAGAGGAAATTTTGGTAAGAAGGAAGGAAGATCTGGCAGCAGCTGGTTTTTAACGTGGATAAATTCAACATGCATAATGCATATTGGGACAGGAAGCTTTGGTTACTGAGAATATGTTCAGGAGGGAGAGTGGAAAAAGATTTGTCATTAATCAGTAATTGTAAAAATATTACTGCACATGAGTTTGACTGCCTCTAAATAAAGGGATTTCACTTCTGCAATTTGGTGCTTTTTGCATTAGATATACACCTTGATTATAGTATCACTAGCCACTCCCATCAAGATACCTCAAACTAGGAGTGCTTTTATCTGTGCAACATCTAAATATAACAAAACCGATGGGTCAGAGAGCCCTCATCACTGTACAATTACTCGTGTGATCTCAATTTCAGGAGCATATGCATCATTTAGCACTTACTTTAAATAAAAAGATTAATTTATTTAAATTATGTATGTAATTTGTTTTCATTCATGGGATGTGAGCATTGCTGGCCAAGCCAGCACTTATTATTCATCACTAATTGCCCAAAAAGGCAGCCACATTGCTAAGAGTCTGGAGTCTTAACAGAGAGGCATTGGCCTCGTGATATTATCGCCGGACTTTAATCCAGAGGCCTAGGTAATGTTCTGGAGACCTGCATTTGAATCCTGCCATGGCAGATGGTGGAATTTGAATTCAGTAAATATCTAGAATTAAGATTCTAACAATTACCATGAATCCATTGCTGATTGTCAGAAAAACCCATTTGGTTCACTAATGTCCGTTAGTGAAGGAAACTGCCATCCTTACTTGGTCTGATCTACACGTGACTCCAGACCCACTACAAAATGGGCAGTTAGGGATGGGCAATAAATGCTGGCCTAGCCAGTGATGCCCCCATCCAATGAATGAATTAAAAAAAGTCACGTGTATGACAGATTGAATTTTACGGTTGACAGTGGTTATACGGCTACCATTAGACCAGCTGTTTCTTGCAGATTTTTTTTAAAGTTGGAACCAACATATATTTACAGTAATTACAACCTATTATCAGTGTTTCCTGTGGTAATTCTTGATATAAAATTAATCCTGAAAAAACAGTAGTTCACAGACAGCAGGGTATCACAGTCTCTGAATAACTGCATAGCTGTGACTATGTAGATTGATCAGTGATCTAAATGCAACCAGTCAAATACAAGCCCACTATTCGAAGGATGTGGCCACACAGCTATCTGTCATAGGAGAAGCACAAAGTTTATGAGCCCTAACTCTTCTGACCTCTCATCTTCACCTAATAAAGAACTATCAATGAGATCCACCTCCAGGATGTTAATCACATTAAATATTTGACTTGAGTGGGAATGGCTTCATTCAGTGATGTGTGTCAGATTCTTTGAATAATCTGTTAAATAGTTCTCCATTCAAGTACAATGGCAGCAAGTGGGAATCTGGGACCATTCTGCTGTTTAAAGTCGTATCTGGCAGAAAGAAAGATGATTGTGGCGGTTGGAGGCCATCTCCACTCCAAGACATCCTTGTAGGAGTTTCTTGGCCTAACCACCTTTAGATACTTCATGAATAACCAACTATCTTAGGGTCAAAAGAGAGGATGTTTGATGACTGCAATATTTAGCACCATTCATGATTCCCCAGATACTGAAGCTGTCCAGGCCCAAATACAGCAAGACATGAACAATACACCGGTTTGGGCTGACAAGTGGCAAATAACATTCATGCCACACAAGTGCCAGACAATAACTATATCCTCCAAGAAAGAATCTAATCAACACCTCTTGATATTCAATGGCATTTTTAACGCCACGACCCCCGCTATTGACATCCTGGAAGTTATCATTGGCCAGAACCTGAACTAGCCATATAAGTACTGTGGCTACAAGAGCAGGTCAGAGTCTCAGATTCTTTCAGTGAGTAACTCACTTTCATTTGTGCCTTCACTAATGAAAGGCCTATCTCTAATTTTTAGGTTATCCTGCCAGAGCCTAGATTCCACCCCTACCAGTGGAAATGGTTTCCCTCTATCATTTCCCTGTAGTATTTTGAAAACTTTAATCAAGTTATTCCTTAAATTTCTATGTTAGTCAATACAATCCTGGTTTGTGTAATCTTACTTTGTAATATAACTCTTGGAGTTCAGGCATCATTCGAGTAAACCTATACTTTTTCCTCCCTTCAAAGATAAATATCATTCCTAAAGTCTGGTGTACAAAACTGAACACGTTACTCCCACATTTGGTCTAAAGAGGGCTTTATTTTCAGGGTCAAACTTAATTTCTAACCACATATTTAACCCTTTAGGTTATAAAAGCCAACATTCCGTTAGCATTTGTATTTGTTTGTACCTGCCCCAACACATTAATGATCCACGTACTTGACCCCAACTGAAGTCTCTTTGGACCTCCATAGTTTCTAATTTTTTAATCACATGGAATGCTTTAATCTATCCTTTGCAGATCCAAAGTTTATGGCTCCACACCTACATATTTGCCATTGTTTGGACCATTCATCCATTAATGTCTTTTTATGCTTTTTTTCTGCATTGTTTACAGTGCTGCCTATAGAAAAGCAGTGGTGTAGTGGTAATGTCACTGGACTAGTAATCCAGAATGACAGGTTAATGTTCTGAGGACATAGATGGTGGAAATTTGAATTCAGGGCTTGTTGGTCTAGTCAATTCTTTGTGTTGTTGTGGCACTCTGATCCAGGAGGCTCAGCTTTAAGTCTCACCTGCTCCAGAGGTGTTATAAACATCTCTGAACAGGTCAATTAGAAAATGTCTGCAGTGGCTGATCTCCATGCAATTGGCTTTGTGTTTTAGGGGGCTGTTTTGGTTCAGTAGTAGTGTCCCTACCTCTGTGCCACAGGTTTAAGTCCCACCTGCTCCCAAGATGTGTTAGAACACACCTGGTTTATTAAAATATCTACAGTTGCCTATCTTTGTCATCAGTGCACTCGGATGGTGTTACTTTCTATTTCGTCTGCCAGATCCTTAATAAATAGTGAACAGGTGACACCCCAGTATAGTTGGGATGTCACTTGAAAGCCTGTCAATTAGAGTATCTACCAACAAGAGTATCTTCTGTCTGTCTCCAATTGCTGAGTCAGTTTCCTAAACAGGACAATATATTTTTTCTCAATTCAAGCTTTAGCTGACAGTCTCTTAGGACAGATTTTATCAAATGTCCTTTGAACAAAAATATAAATAAGGGATTCCTCTGTCCACTACTTCAGCCAATTCTTCAAAAATTTGTATCAGGTTTGTTAGGCATGGTTTACACTTTTAATTAATACTGGTTTGCTGTGATCAGCTAAAAATGTTCCAGATCAGTCATTTATCTTTAATTGTAGATCCTCATTATGTTCCGATGACAAATGGTGAACCAGTTTATAATCCCATAGTTTTGTACTTCTTCCTTAAATTCAACTTCCACATGGAGATGGAAAAGCAAGATCAATATTGACCTCAGAAGAAATGCATATCTGTTGCCAATGTCACATGCATTGGGTAAAAGTCTTTAGTAACTTGTACCTGTTGACAGCAAGAGGGAGCCAGTACTGACGTCTGTAAACATTTGAGCTTGAGTATTGCATTTCAGACTCATGTAGTCAAAGAACTCTTTGGCATTATGGCACAAGAAAAAAGCTATTCTTCCAATAAAGCGTCTGCCACCTCACTATAATGTAATCCAATGACCCCCATTTACCCTATTGTATCCCCAGAGCCCAATAAGTTTATTTTGCCAAGTGCCCATCTCATTTCCTTTGAACTCATTCATTTCCTCCTAGTCTCCTAACTTCAAGCAGTGATTGCCAGGTCATTCCCATTCACTACAGTAAAAACATTGTTCCTCACATACCAATTCCCCGATGGCATCTCTTCCCAAATCTTAAATCTGTGTCCCCTAGCCTCTTTATGTTAACTAACGGGAGCACATTTTGTCTGCCTTATCTAAAACTGCCAATCTTGTATACCTCTTTAATATTGGGTTTCAGTCATCTGTTTTCTCACAAAAATGCCAGTTTCTTCAAACTTATTGCTAAAGTTCCTCGTCCCTTGGAATTATTCTGTGTTCATGTAGCTGTTGAGAATTTTTTTTGTCAACTATTGATTGTGGAACTGAACATTTTGCAAACTGTCTTTTCAGACATGGTTGGGCTGAATCACTGTCCTCCATCCGCCTTCCCTATGTGAAATACATCTGCCCACATGCGTAAGTGCTGTTCAACTTGTGTGAAATTTGTCTGAATGCTTTTTATTGTTTTCAGGCATTACTCTGAAACATGGAATTGTTAATCACGCTTGTGAAGAGCAAAGTAGCTTATATAATTTTTTAAAAAGTTTGGTAGAATTACAAAATACCTTGTCACATTTGTTCTTGTCCTTCTCATAATCAGAATTAACAGACCCTATTGATGTGACAGCTCTGGCTTGTTGGCAATAGGATGTAAATGTTTTTAAAGCTAGATTCACATATGCTCAAAACCGATGGATGTGATTCTACAGAAAGATGAATTACTTTCAGCTCCAACCCAGGGGTTCTAATTACTTCAGAGATAGTAGGAACTGCAGATGCTGGAGAATCCGAGACAACAAGGTGCAGGGCTGGATGAACACAGCAGGCCAAGCAGCATCATAGGAGCAGAGAGGCTGACGTTTCGGGCCTAGACCCTTCATCAGAAAAGGGGGAGGGGAAGGGGGTTTTGAAATAAATAGGGAGAGAGTGGGAGGCGGATAGAAGAGGGATAGAGGAGAGGATAGGTGGAGAGGAAACAAACAGGTCGAAGAGGCGGGGATGGGGCCAGGAAAGGTGAGTGTAGGTAGGGAGTTAGGAAGGGGATAGGTCAGTCCAGGGAGGACGGACAGGTCAAGGGGGCGGGATGAGGTTGGTCGGTAGGAGATGGAGGTGCGGCTTGAGGTGGGAGGAGGGGATAGGTGGGAGGAAGAACAGGTTAGGGAGGCAGGGACGAGTTGGACTGGTTTTGGGATGCGGTGGGGGGAGGGGAGATTTTGAAACTTGTGAAATCCACATTGATACCATTGGGCTGCAGGGTTCCCAAGCGGAATATGAGTTGCTGTTCCTGCAACCTTCGGGTGGCATCGTTGTGGCACTGCAGGAGGCCCAGGATGGACATGTCATCTGAGGAATGGGAGGGGGAGTTGAAATGGTTCGCGACTGGGAGGTGCAGTTGTTTATTGCGAACCGAGCGTAGGTGTTCTGCAAAGCGGTCCCCGAGCCTCCGCTTGGTTTCCCCGATGTAGAGGAAGCCACACCGGGTACAGCGGATGCAGTATACCACATTGGCAGATGTGCAGGTGAACATCTGCTTGATGTGGAAAGTCTTCTTGGGGCCTGGGATGGGGGTGAGGGAGGAGGTATGGGGGCAGGTGTAGCACTTCCTGCGGTTGCAGGGAAAAGTGCCGGGTGTGGTGGAGCTGGAGGGGAGTGTGGAGCGGACAAGGGAGTCACGGAGAGAGTTGTCCCTCCGGAAAGCAGATAAAGGTGGGGAGGGAAAGATGTCTTTGGTGGTGGGGTCGGATTGCAGATGGCGGAAGTGTCGGAGGATGATGCGTTGGATCCGGAGGTTGGTGGGGTGGTACGTGAGGACGAGGGGGATTCTTTTTTGGTTTTTATTGCGTGGACGGGGTGTGAGGGATGAGGTGCGGGAGATGTGGGAGACACGGTTGAGGGCGTTCTCGACCACCGAGGAGGGGAAGTTACGGTCCTTGAAAAACGAGGACAACTGAGATGTACGGGAGTGGAATGCCTCATCCTGGGAGCAGATGCGGCGGAGGCGAAGGAATTGGGAATAGGGGATAGCATTTTTGCAGGAAGGTGGGTGGGAGGAGGAGTATTCTAGGTAGCTGTGGGAGTCGGTGGGCTTGAAATGAATATCGGTTTCTAGGTGGTTGCCCGATATGGAGACAGAGAGGTCCAGGAAGGGGAGAGAGGTGTTAGAGATGGTCCAGGTAAA